TACAACACAGACTTATTTAGTTATATTCTACTAGCATTTACATGCATGTATCTGCTAAACATTACTTGCTAGATTTTATTAATAATATCTCAGATTACAGATAGTTGTGTCAATATGGCATGGAATTTGGATCAAGATATGTTTATCTGTAACTATGAGTCTGATATTTTAAAAATTAGAATTGTTGTTGTTGTGTTGTTAAGTGCCGTCGAGTCGGTTCCGACCCATAGCGACCCTGTACAGGGTTTCCGAGGGTGTAAATCTTTACGGGAGTAGAAAGCCTCATCTTTCTCCCGCGGAGCGGCTGGTAGTTTCGAACCATTGACCTTAAGGTTCGCAGCCCGATTTGTAACCACTACGCTAGGGGCTATTAATGCCAGTGACACTACCTGAGTCCTATTGTGATGTTATAGAATAAGCACTGGACTGCTAAAAGCAAGGTCCGGTGGTACAAAACCATTGACCACTCTTTAAAATTCATATATAGGGTCGTTATGGGTTGGAGGTAAAAAAATTGAACAGAAAATATCAAAGGGCAGTTTGAGAAATCAAACTAAAATGTTGTAATAAAATGTGCAAAAACCTGGAGTTAGAAAACCAAAAGGGAAGAACATATTCAGTGTTTCACAAACAGAAAGAACTATAGAAAAAATTAAAGCCTCAAATTGTTGTATTGAAGGATTCTATAATCAAAACGGAGTCCTGCATTCGTCTAACACCAGAGGACTTTGCTAGAGCTCAGAAAGAGTGCAAATAGGTTGGCAGTGCTTTGCAGTATGAAGATGAGAACAGTGCTGTGCAGAATTTACAGAAGGCTCTCAAGTTGCTGACGACAGGCAGAGAATGAAGAATGAAGCCTTTGTACAAAAGAGTCATGTATTTGGAACCTAAAGAAATAACAGGCGATTGCTCTATATTCAGCCTTTCAGGAGCAGTTTTAAGGAAATCTTCAGTTTCTAATTAAATTATGGGTACTCAGAGAAAGAATTCTGTATGATTTAGAAACTACTGAAGATGATAATTAGATCCGGACTATGCTAAAATGTTCACTTTGTAACAGAATCAATGGAAGGAAAGTGTTGTGTAGGAACCTGTGAAGATGGATATAGTTTTTTGGAAATTAAGTTGCAAAGGCCACTTTTCCCTTTTCCAATTCCCTTTTTCTTTTACTTAATTGGATTTTGGGCTTGTTTGCAGTTAAAACTAATTAAAAAGCAAAGGGATAATTTAATGTTATTTCAAATGGTTAAGAAGAAATGTCCAGGTTAGGAGAGCTAATACTTGCTGTTGATGAGGAAAGAAAAGAGCAAAGAAATAATAGGCTGGTCCTTGAATTTAAATAAATAGACAAATACGCAGATCACTAAGTTTTAACCAAACTCTGATAGAAACTACAGAGGAAAACACTCATAAACTACAAAAATTAGGCATTTATTTTCTCAAAAACATATGAGAAGTTAAAAGAGGTATAGTTAGGTTTTGGAAAGACACTCAAAGTTGAAAAATAAGATTGAAATAATTTTTGAGAAGTCTGTGATATAAGACCAGGTTATGAAGTAACTGATTTGAGGACAGTATCTAGAGGTAGAAGGCTGAAAAATACTATTGTCTAGCTTTGATCCAGTTGACTGGCTTACCAACACTCTAGATCATTTTTGCCGAGGCTATGTGTGGTATAAGAGTGTTGGTGATATTGTAAAATAATCAATGGACTGCTACCCAAAAAGTCAGTGGTTCAATTCCACTAGTCATGCTGTGGCAGAAAGATGAGGCTTTCTGTTCCATAAAGATTTACAGACTTGAAAACCTTACACAGGGTTGTTATGACTTAGAACGGACTTGGCAGCATTTACGAACACAGCAACAGGCGTGGTATTGTTTTTAAAATATAGTTATTCTGCATTAAATGACTTATCTCCCAGTTAATTGTTAGATATTATAGAATGAATTGCATCCCCCCAAAAATTCATTCTTCTTGGATCAACTATCAGCACTCATAGAAGCAATAGCATGGAAGCAATCAAATGATGACATATTGCATTAGGAACATCTGCTACATAAGACCTTTTAAAAGTGTTGAAGAGCAAAGATGTCAGCCTGAGGACGGAGGTGCACCTGACCCAAGCCATGGTATTTTCAATAACCTCATATGCATGTGAAAGCTGGACAATGAATAAGGAAGAGCGAAGAAGAATTGATGCTTTTGAGTTATGCTCTTGGAGGAGAGTATTGAAATTGCCATGGCCTGCCAAAAGAACAAAGAGATCTGTGTTGGAAGTAGTGCAACAAGAGTGCTCTTTGGAGGTCAGGATGGCCAAACTTGGTATCTCATACTTCGCATATATTGTCAGAAGGGATCAGTCGCTGGAGAAGGATATCATGTTTGGTAGGGTAAAGGGTCAGAGGAAAAGAGGAAGCCCCCCACCAAGATGAATTGACAAAGTGGTAGCATCAAGGGACTCAAGAGTGGCAACAATAGTGAGGTTGTCCCAGGATCAGGCAGTGTTTTGTTCTGTTGTACATAGGATCGCTATGAATCGGTACCAACTCAATGGCACTTAACAACAACAACAACAAATATATTAACTTTTCTAGGACATGGCTCTCTGTATTATGTAAGTAGTTTTTGTTTTGTAATTTGATGCGACTAAATCTGAACCGCTCTGATATTAATAAGGCAGGATTAGAGGTATTTTTGTTAATCATGAAGGATATAATCTATAGGCAAATGAAATCAGAGATGCCCAACATTTTGCAAGAATGCAAGTGTTAAATGGCCATTTTCAGATTTCATTACATTGTATCTTGAGTCAATATATTTTGAGAAACAAGAAAGGTTAAACAAGTGAACAGAGATTGAGGGAATTCACTACCTCAATACAGAAGAACTGGAAGGAGAGCACATCCTTTGGGCCTGGGGTCCCAGTGCTGCAATTTTCCTAGATCCAGGGGAAGAGCAATACCAAGATACATGTAAATTTCAAAGTCATGCCGGGTTCAGGGTTACTAAAAGGAGACAAGAACTTTTCCCAGAGCCAACAGAGAAAGAAAGCCTTTCCATTGAGCTGTTGTTGTTAGGTGTCATCAAGTTGGCGACACGATGCACAACAGAATGAAACGCTGTCCGATTTTGGACCAACCTCACAATTGTTGCCACGCTTGAGTCCACTGATGCTGCCACTTTGTAAATCTCTCTTGCTGGGGGTTTTCCTCTTTGTATCCACCTTACCAAACATGAAATCCTTCTCCAGTGACTGGCACCTGAATTTGAACTTCTAGTTTCCCACACCAGGAGAAAAGAAATTTCTGTTTGTTAAAATCACCCATTTGTGGTATTTCTGGCTTAACAGCTTTAGATAACAAAGAAAGTGGGTCAAAAAAAAAAGTACAGCTGATGCAAAGACATTAGACTGTGTGGAACATAACAAATTGTGGATAACATTGAGAAGAATGGGTATTTCAGAACACTTAATTGATTATTTTAGTGGATAATCTGTATATACATCAAGTGGCAGTTATTAGAACAAAACATGGGAATACTGAATGGTTTAAAATCAGGAAAAGTGTGTGTCAGCATTGTATACTTTCTCCATACTTAGTCAATCTGTATGCTGAGCAAATAATCAAAGAAACTGGATTATATGAAGAACAATACGGCATCATAATAGGAGGAAGACTAATCAACAACCTGAAGTATGTGGGTGACATGACATTGATTGCCAGAAGCAAAGAGAACTTGAAGTGTTTACTGATGAAGATCAAAGACTACAGCCTTCAGTAACATAAAGAAACCCAAAATCCTCACAACTTGACCAATAAATAATATCATAATAAATCAATAAAATATCCAAGTTATAAAATATATTTCGTTTTACTTTAAAATACAATTGAAACTCATGGAAGCAGCAGTCAAGCAAAGGACAGTTGCATTCGGAAAATCAGCTGCAAGAGACTTGTTTACAGTGATAAAGAGCAAAGATGTCACTTTGAGAACTAAGGTGAGGCTGATCCAAGTCATGGTATTTTCAATTGCTTCATATGCATGTAAAAGCTAGAGAATGCATAAGAAAGACCCTACAAGAATAAATGCATTTGAATTATGGTGTTGGCAAAGAAGATTGAAAGTATTATGGACTACCAAAAGAACAAACAAATCTGTATAGGAAGAAGTGCAGCCAGCATGCTCCTTGGAAGAAAGGAGCTTCATCTCATATACTGTGGACATGTTATCAGGTGGGACCAGTCCATGGAAAAGGACTTGGCAAAGTAGAGGGTCAGCAACAAAGAGGAAGTCTCCCAATGAGATGGAGTGACACAGTGGCAGCAACAATGGGTAAAGCATGATAACAATGTGAAGATGATAGAAGACAGACAGTATTTCATTTTGTTATGCAATAGGTTGATATGAGTTGGAACTGACTTGATGGCATCTAACAACAATAACAACTACTAAATACACCTGTCAGTTTATATGTTATGTTTCCAACTTCCGAAGACAAACAAAGATAAGATTTGTAAAGTCATTGACAAAAAAAAAAAAAAGAAAGAATAAGAAGAAAGAAATAAAGTAAAATATCATGGGCCAGAAGATAAGATTTGTAAAGTCATTGACAAAAAAAAAAAAAAGAAAGAATAAGAAGAAAGAAATAAAGTAAAATATCATGGGCCAGAAGATAAGATTTGTAAAGTCAGTGACAAAAAAAAGATAAAAATATCATAGGCCAGACAGGGGCCATCTATTCAACTTAATTTGGCTCATTTAAAATAACTAAAACATAAATAATCATGTGACCCAATTTTTGCTTTCTCACTGACACTTGGGAATAAAGTGAGGAATAGTTGGGGTAGAAATGATAATAGTCTACACTCATAAAGTAGCTAAGATATATGTGCCTAAAATAAATCCATTTATTTATTTATTTTTTTTAATTTTCAAGCCTTCACAGGGAATAGAGGATGAAACAGCAATATCTCAATTTGATTCCACTGACCAAGCCACAATGCTCACAAACAATGGTTCCATCTTCATGCCCTCCATACTAACATTAGTTGGAATTCCTGGCCTGGAGTCAGTACAGTGTTGGATTGGAATTCCATTCTGTGTCATGTACATCATTGCTGTGATTGGGAATTCTGTTATCTTAGCTACAATCAAATCTGAGAACAGTCTTCATAAACCCATGTACATTTTTTTGGCTATGTTGGGAGCCACCGATATTGCACTTAGCACTTGTATTCTTCCCAAAATGTTAGGCATATTCTGGTTTCATTTGTCAGAGATTCATTTTGAAGCCTGCCTGCTGCAAATGTGGCTGATTCACTCATTTCAGGCAATTGAATCAGGTGTCCTTCTGGCAATGGCCCTGGACCGCTATGTGGCCATTTGTGCCCCCTTGAGACATACCACCATCTTCTCACAACAACTTTTAACTCAGATTGCAATTGGAATAACACTCAGGGCTGCCATTCTTGTAACACCAACACTGGTACTTGTCAAATACCGCCTTAAACACTACAGAACTACAGTCATCTCTCACTCTTACTGTGAACACATGGCCCTTGTGAAGTTAGCTGTTGAAGATACTCGGATCAACAAGATATGTGGCCTATTTGTTGCCTTCACTATCCTAGGGTTTGACATAATTTTTATCACCTTATCCTATGTTCAGATTTTCATCACTGTCTTTCAACTGCCCCAGAAGGAGGCACGACTCAAGGCCTTCAATACATGCATTGCCCACATCTGTGTCTTCCTTCAGTTTTACCTTCTTGCCTTTTTCTCTTTCTTCACCCATAGGTTTGGCTCTCACATACCACCATATGTTCATATCCTTTTGTCAAACCTTTACCTGTTAGTCCCACCATTTCTCAACCCTATTGTCTACGGGGTGAAGACCAAACAAATTCGTGATCATGTCCTGAAAGTATTATTCTCTATAAAAGCTTCTTGATCATCAGAGGATCTTTATCATCATCATCATCATCATTTTAAGTAGCAACCTGAATATAGAGAACATATATTTATTCCTGAAATGTGCACATTTGAGAAAAAAAATTTAAACTAAATCTCAGAGGATTTTCAGTCAAGAAAATGGTCAATAAGTCTTTCATTACTCAATGTCCTTGGTTGGATACCCAAATAAAGAACAAAATTGTCCTGTGGTTTGATGTTAAATTGTTTAAGCTTGTCTCCTAAATTCAGTTATCCCTTTATACCCAGAAATCCTTTATAGTATTACCTAGCTTTGTATTGAGAATAAAACTGTAGAAATCATAATGCAGGGATATAATATTTAGTATAAAATACAAGTAAGTTGAGTAGTTACAATTTCATTTTGTATTTAATTGATTAAAAAGAATAAAAAATAAAAAATACAACCACTGCTGCAATATTTTCTCCTTTTTTCCAAATACAACCCACATACACATAAGTGAAAATAAATTTTATAAAGCAAATATCCATTTAAGAATACCTAGGTGAAGAAGTCAATCATTGCTTCTATCCAAGGTGTCCCGTTGGTGCTGTAGGACTAGCATTGCATAGTAGGCTAGCAGTTCAAACACACCAGCCACTTTATCAGAGAAAGATGAGGCTTTCTGCTTCCATAAAATTTACAGCCTGAAAAAACCCTATACATGGGTCACTTTGAATTGGAATTGACTTGATGGCAGTGGACAGGTGGGGTTCATTCAAAACAAGGAGTCCCTGGGTGGTGAAGACAGTTAAGCACTGGACTGCTACCCAAAAAGTTGGAGCTTTGAACCCACTGAGAAACAACTTCCAACAAAGACCTGGCAATTTAATTCTGAAAAATGCTTGCCTTGAAAACCCTGTGGAGCACAGTTCCACTCTGACAAACATGGAGTAATCATCAGTTGGAATTGACTCACAACAACTTGTGGTTGGTTTTTGCATCCAAGAAACCATATTTCTACTATTGTTACAACTCCTCATTCCTCCCAAGGTGATAATTTTATGGATTTTAATGTAATAATTTCCTTGGTTTTTTTTTTTAATATACTTTATACCACATAAGCATGTATCACTGAACTTTACAGTTTTGCCTGGTAAGATGGAGGGCCAGAGAAAAAGAGGAAGACCCCCAACGAGATGGATTGGCCAGGTGGCAGCATTGATGGACTCAAGTGTGGCAACAGTAGTGAGGTTGGCCCAGGATCGGACATTGTTTCGTTCTGCTGTGCATAGGGTCATTATGAGTTGGTTCTGACTCAATGGCATCTAACAACAACAACAAGTGTATATATTCCATGATTGTGTTTTAGCAACTGTAGGAGTATTTGGTTGTATCTACAAATTTATAAATTACATGAGAAACTGCACATACTGAACTCAGACCTAAGTTTTTCTTGTTCATTAAGAACATTCTTGAAAAATCAAATGGCCACTTTTGGAGTTTTCACAGTGGTGAATTAGAACCTCAGACTATCGATTACCTTAAAGGAATTTTATTTGACTCTGGTAAACCAAAGTTTCAATTTAATTTTTAACACCCTTGATAAATGAGCCTAGATTTTCCCCCTACCAGGATGTTGGTTTTGGGGTTTATACTTTAACCTGAAAATACTAAAACTAATTCAGAATTTCAATAATAATTTTGAGAAAATGACTTCACATTTGTATCTTTTCTTTCTCCTAAAAAATTTTGTTTAATGTTAGTGCTGTATGATTAAGAATTTTGTTTCTGTTTATCCTGTATGTAAACCCTATTGTTTGTTCTCTTGAAAATAATTATCCAGAGCTACAGTTTTATTAACTTGAATTATATACATTAGTTAAGGTTACCACAAGGAATCTCAGTCTTCTTATTTATATGACTGTGAAATTAGGGCATTTCCTGATAAACAGATATTAAAGAAACTTGTAATGATCAGAGCAACTTTGCAAAAAATACTAAAAGGTATTCTTTGGACTGAGAACCAACAACAGAAGCCAACAACATAAGATTATCATACATGGCAACACTATCCTGAACTCAATCCGGATATAGAAATATTTAAAGTAAAACAAACCTACAAGATTAAACCAGAGATATTAATGTGTAATAAAGTCAACTACAAGCAAAAAGAGGGAGTAGTGTAGATACAGAACTTACAAATGGCAAGGAAGTCAGGTAGATTCCAATATAAAACATTGTATTAAGCAGGGGAAAAATTTATAAATTCCAGGGTCACCTGAAAGAAAAATAATACACCTGCACATCAAAAGAGAAAAATCAAAAGGATTTAGTAAACATCAATACAACAGAAATGAAAATGACAAGAAAACCCTCACAAACAAAATGAATTCAGCATGGAGAACTATAAGGAACTAAATATCCATCAGTACTACAAAAAAAAAAAAAAAAAAATCCACACAGAAAACTGACAATAATCAATCAATTCATACCTATTGATAATTACATTGATATAAATGGATTAAATGTACCAGTCTAGAGACATACAGAGCAGAATGGATTTAAAAAATGAGGTCCTTCAATATGCTGTCTACAGGATATTAGGAGTCAGAGCCAACTCAAGAGCACTTAACCAGCACAAGGTAATTTCCTGATTCTCAATTGATTTAAGAAATATTTGTTTAAATTTAGGTTCATGTAGTTTAGCTTTATAGAGAAAAGTTCACATATTCAGTTATATAAGTAAGCATGTTCATTTTTCCCATCTATGGGGTCCTGGTGTGGTGATATTATATAAGCCCTGGACTGCTAACCACACGGTTGGTGGTTCAAACCCACCACTCATTCCTTGGAAACACTATAGAGGGTCACAATGACTTAATTACATGTAACAACAATTACAAGAGAGGAACTCCTTTTGTGGTTTCTGCAGTGTCAACACTGGACCGTGAACCACAAGATCATAGTTCAAACCCACCAGCTGCTCCTCAGAAACCCTATACAGGGTCCCTATGAGTCAAAGTGGACTCTACAGAACTTAACAACAACATTATAAGAGACAGAGTGCTGGTGTGGTACAGTAAGATAAAAACTGGAATTCTGGAGGTGGGGCTTGATGGCAGACTAGGCAGAAAGGCTGTGCAGACCCTTTCCAACAAAAACACGGAAAACCAAATGAAACAGACTCATAGGACACTCAGGTTTGGCTTGAACTTCATTTTGTCTTAGGCTACGCTTTTTTCTGAGAAAGTGATTCATGACCATTTGTGAGTAAACAAGCAAAGGGCAATTTGCCCTTGGAATAATACTTGGTATATTTAAAATAAACTTCCAACAATAGAGGTCAAACTTGTTGTATCTTACTAATCATGTACCTCTGATAACCCTTAACTGGATATTTTTGCTTCTGCTTTTAATGATTCATTAGGTATCTTGCCTTAGGCTACCTGGATTTCAGACTGTCTTGCAAAAATGTCATAGTATTTTATATAGGTAAGAGAGACATTTGAAGTCTGTTGTTAAATGCCATTGAGTTGGTTCTGACTCATAGTGACTCTGAATGGGTTTCTGAGGCTTTTCTATCTGAGTGGAGCAGAAAGCCTCATCTTTCTCCCATGGAGCAGCTGCTGGGCTTGAACTGCGGCCCTTGTTTTTCACAGTCATATGGAGCCACCATACTCCTATTTTTTGATGTTTGTTATGTTGTTGTTGTTGTTAAGTGCCGTCGAGTCGGTTCCGACCCAGAGCGACCCTGTACAGGGTTTCCGAGGGTGTAAATCCTTACGGGAGTAGAAAGCCTCATCTTTCTCCCGCGGAGCGGCTGGTAGTTTCGAACTGCTGACCTTAAGGTTCGCAGCCCGATTCGTAACCACTACGCTTTGATGTTTAGACCTGCCTAATTTCACCCCATAGTATTATATTGAAGGAGACATCAGTTAAAGCCCTCATCAGAACCCCACTAATAGACTGAAGTTTGCTTTCTTCATCAACCATATGCAGCTAGAAAGTGGTAGAACTTTAGGTCACAGTTTAAAGAAATTAGGCATCCTAGTGTGGTGCTGTAGGATAATGCACTGTACCACAAGGTCAATGGGTCAAATCCACCAGCTGCTTCTTGAAAACCCGATACCACAGTGTCACTATAAGTGGGAACCAACTCAAAGGCACTTAACAACATCTTAGTTTATTGAAACATTGTCTTTGTTGACTCACGTTCCTTTTTTTTTGCTATTAAAAAGAAACAATACAAGAAAATGCTGCTTCAAATTTTCTTCAAGATTTATTTATTTTTATTTATTTAGCCAGGGATGAGAAATTCTTCTATATTCAGTAATCCTATTTGTTTGGATTTGTTAATCAGATAGAGACTTAAACTTGAAGCTGAAACACTCTTAGTGGGCAGAAGCAGCTAATAGCTTTTGCAAGGTCTTGGAATAAGACCCATCATTGGATTTTGTTTAAATCTTTATTACTTTTAAGGTTGCATTATGTTGACAACTTGTGTTTATTTGTCTTGTAAGAATTTTACATATAAGATATATATCCTAATTCTTTTCTAATTTGTTGCTTTTAACTTAAATTCCTTTAGGTTGTATAAACTAGTAGTTTTCCACTGTTGTTGAGTGCCTTGCATCAGTTCTGACTCATACCAACCATGAATAAGGTTTCTGAGGAATGGCTGGTGAATTTGAACCACCAACCTTGCAGTTCAAATTGACTCTATGGTCCAGTGCATTATCCCACAGTGCCATACCATGAATGTTACTGAAATGATGCTATGGATGTAACCCTCATTGTTTTTGAAGTGGTTTTGTTCTATCGCTTATTTTATTAATTTGTATAGCTAAATCTTGCCATGTGTTTTAACTGAAAAACTTTTCTTTATATATTTCTCATTAGTATTTTAATATATACTATTTGCTACATCAGTCTCTTGGTGTGGCACTGTAGGTTCAAATCCACCAGCAGCTTCTAGGAAACCCCATACAAGGTCGCTATGAGTCAGAACAGACTTGGCAGCATTTAACAACAACAAC